TTTGTGCTGCGCCAACACTTGTTGTCTTGTCCGTGACATTTTTTAATATTAGTTACTTTTTTATATTAAATATATTTCCATTTCAACACAGAAATCTCCTTTCCTTTTCCCAACGTACCTCTCTGGGCAGGGAGGAGGCATTGGGTGATAGAGCAACTGTATAAATCACAACATGTGTCAAACATGAGGTTTGAAAATAGAATGCAGTAATGAATAGTAGTCAGTAGAGCTGACACACAGCTTAATTTATTATTGCTCTGTTCTCTGGTGCTCAGTTATGTTTGGATTTTCTTAATTGAAGCATTAATCTGTGATTTGACTTCCTATGGATGGCACTAGTACAGAGTAAATGAATAAAAATCCTTACTTTAATGCTTTCTTTAATATGTAGAACAGCATTTCAGCACATACGCATCTGCGTGCAAGGCTCCAGCTGGGGTCTGTCTTATGGTGGCTTAAGAAACCAGGCACATTTTCTAACATAAGTGTGGCCACTTCAAAATATTGAATATTATCAATTCTGTTGCATTTTATTTCCTTTAAAATATATGCCCCATGGGTTAAATTTCAGTAAGAAGTCTAACATGAGAAAGTTAAATAGAAAGTACATCTGCAAAATATTAGAAATGCAAGTGACTATGCTCACAGTAAAAGGATCATTTCTGAAATACTGGGCTATTGAAATTTCCATTTCTGTTTTGAAACAGACCTTTGTAGAGCTCCTGGGTTATTAATTAATACACTGGAAATACCTAGAAACAAAAGTTATTCATTAGCTTAGTAAAAGGAAAGTGAAAATGCAGAAGACTAATCATATGGTTGCATGTAGTTTCCTTTTGATTATTTTCATGTCTTAATTTACTTTTGTACTTTGGAGGCTTTGAAAAGTGTATTTGGAAAAAAATAAAAATAAAAAAAGATATTGCTGTGGTGTTTTCAAAAATCAATTGCAGAACTTCTATTTTGGTATTGAGATAAGTAGTCTTAAATACTCTACTGCTTTTTGAAATAATGGAGAAATAGAAACCCATTGTAG